TTCTGTCATATTGGTCATTGTAACGGAAATTCGATGATAAATATCAATGTTTTCTGAGCTTTGTCTTTATTTCTTTTGATTTCATTACACTTCCGTTACTTGTTGCTATCACTTGATCTGTTATTTCAACACTAGTCTTGTTTACATATAAATTCTTATACCACTATACATATCACTCACACATGCGTGTTACGTTGTTCGATCTCACTCTTGACTGTCACTATCATCAAACGTTTATATCCTCTACCATTTTCTTCTCTTGTTCAATCTATCCTTCTCGTCAAAAGAGGACAATGAGCATCTATACAGAGTATAGTGCAGTGGTTACACAAGTATTAAAAAGAATAATGTATAGCGGAACCATTACAATTGTATTGAACAAGTATTAAACAGGTATTGAATATTATGAGTAGTATTACGTATGGACACAAGGATGACATTGTACTAGAGATGGCATGACATAAGAGTGGCATAACGTAAGGATGATATCATATTCAAGTGATAGCATATCACATTGGTGTATCTGTTGGCACAGTCGTCCTTATCATGCAATGGCTCCTATGTAAAAACATTTTTTTTATAGAAGTAATCCTGTACTCAAAGAGTTAGTAAGAGCGTTGGTCACAGCTATACTGAAGAAATTTTTAATTTCAAGATTAATCAAATGCCACCCTCATGTACAAATGTTTATGATGAATTAGAAAAAAAATACCTTGAAAAAAATTCGAAATAGAATAGATGACACTTTATTTTTCTCAAATAAGTGGCTTTTCAGATTGTTTACATCTTCAGAGTTTTTTTCAAATTTTCTCGCTTATAGCGTTATGTAAAAGAAATTAAGACGTACGTGTTCGTGATCAGCAAGTCAAACTGTAGTAAACGATGTACAAATCATTTCTTTTGAAAATTTGCTCTATTGCGCATCGCGATATGTATTAATTTGGCAGAACGAAAAAATATCAAAGGAAGCAATGTCGAAGCAAATTCTTGAAAAAGATCGTCGAATAAAAAATGTCGAAACAACTCCATGCTGATATTTCTTGACTAGAGAGTTCATTTTTTTATTCGATACCAAAGAAAAAGAGCAACAGACATTGATCAGGAAGCATTTATTCGTAAAAGCAGAAGATTTCTTGACAAGTGACGTAGAGAATGTCACTATTTCTCAAGATTTTATTATTTTTTCTGTTTCGCCATCTGGTGTTCGTTAACGAAACGTTAGACTCTCAACATTTTTATGTATTCAAGCTTTTTTTCTTCTACGTAAACTGCTCCGACATTTTTTTCTTCTGTATAAACTGCTTCGACATTTTTTGACATATTTTTTTTCTACATTTGTTCGTTCTGTCAAATCAATACCATTCAACATCGTTCGCATCTTACCTTTCATTTATTACTATAGACTGTCACAGTGGAAACATGATGAGACCTACACCTAAGTAAAATGTGATGTGCATTCTGTCTAGCATGTCGCGATCATTAGAGAGTCTGTTGCTTCAGCGTGTGTTTAAGGTGTATGCAATGAGAAAGAAAAAGCTTGATGCATGTAAAAGACACGTTGAATAGCAACAAGGGAGAAAATGTTGATTTGTTTTTAATAACAATAATGGTTATTCATTACTATCGATTGTCGATGATTAATGGTAATTGCCATCGAATTTCTTGACAGTTTTTATCTATTTCTTCTTTTTTTTAAGGCCATCTCACCCCCTCCCCTCCCTCAAAAAAAGTCAATTTTCGTCAGAGGTTTCGAAATTGAGATAAATGCATGGGAAGATAGCCCGCCATGTACTCTTTCATAAACAATAAAAGTTTTTACTCGGTACCTCATTTTTCTCAAAAATTTTTCAAGATTTCTGTCAACCTGTATTCGAAAAATAAGCGGTTTTTTGAAAAACCAAGAAATGTGTTTCGTTTTTTCTTGATTTGTGATTTTTTGATTTTGCTTCCAAGATTTTTCGGTCCAGTGACTTTCAATATATATAAGTTTTTTTTATTTTGCAAGAGCACGTCAAGATGCAGGGCACCACAGAGTCCTTTTTTTTCATTAAGCTTTGTTTTTCAATATATATAGAGACGTTTATGTAACTAGACACCCATTTTTGGCGCGTTTTTTGAGTCATCGAACTTATGAGCCCCTTTCTCCGCTAAAAAAGTAAGAATTTAGAAAAAGGACTCTATGATGCCCCGCATCCTGACATGCTCTTTCTAGCAAAGAAAAAATTAAACATATTGCATGAGCCTGGACTAAGAAATCTTGGAAGCAAAATGAGCTATTTTTGATCCTTGTTTGGTTCATATCTCTGTCAAACATCATGATATCAAGCTGAAAATTTTATTCCAGTCTCCTCGCTTCAGTCCCAACATATGCTCCAAATTTCAGTCCATTTGAACATACCTGGGCTGAGATCGTTTTTTGAGGGGGAGGAGGTGGCCTTAATGTATTACAGAATTTCCGTCATGATGTAATTTAGTTATTTCGTTTCTTGTCAAAACGAGAGTAGTGCGATGCCTAAAATTTTATGAAAGAATAATAGAATATTCCGTCTCCATCGAAGTCCATAATTCTGTCTGATGCATTGTCGATCGCATTTAAAATTTTGAAATTTCGATACTATCGAATATTAAGTATAGTAATCGTGCGAGAGAATCGGGTACAGACATATTTCCAGGTTCCTTGTACCATTGAAACTAAACCATGACAGATTAGTTCTGTGTGAACTCAGTTTAGAAATCGACGAAGTCCTTGTATCGGTAAATTTTAGCGGAGACTCACTGCGATGCATTGTGTACCGATAATCGATTATAGAATCCGATCTTGAATATGATTCTTAATAAATATTAAAGTATGGAAAGTAGAACTTCAAAGACTCTTTCTCTCGTTTCTACACATCACAAAAGAATTCTCAAAATTCTCTTCTCTCAATTCTATCACAGATTATAGTAAACATTGAAATGTTTCTCATTTACAATTAAAGTGCCTCATTTTTGTTTCACCAAATGTGTAAAGGCTGTATCTTCGACTTCTTCATTAGGGCTTCGTTACGCATTTCGACATCACGAACATTTACGGCTCGTAAACGGCCGTATACAGTTCGAGGGTGTGGCTGTGTACTTTTTCTTTTGTCATCAACATCTTCACGCCCTACATCCACACCCGTTGTGGACTGTAGGCGTAAGTGATGGTGTTCGCTTCATTGATTCACACTTTATTTGACGAAGCGATTTTCTAGATCAATGTGGTGATGTTGATGAGGTGGCTACACACAGAGACAAAAATTCTGAAAGTAAGTTTCAACTTCAAATAGTTTAACCCTTTTCTGTCTTTTATCGGACTTGTAATTTGCATCCATGCATCCAATATGTTTTTTTCTATTACACAACGTGTTTGCTCCTTATAATTTTACCGCTTTTGTAGTAAAATAGATGCTTACATAGTATTTTTTAGTAGAAAAAGTCGTCCATAATGATGAGAAAGCTACGATTTAGCAATAATATTGTTTACATTATCGGAAAGAAATTGACGATTAGTCGCCGATTTCGACGACATGGGTAATATCTCAATATTAGGAAAAAAGCATAAATTCATCCGACATGAGGACATTGAAGAGCATCAGAAAACTTCGAATTTCTACTTTAACATCTGAAAAAGCAGTTGAGTAATGAAAATGAGTGCCCTGAAAACGTCATGCTACTGTGAATACACAAAGAAAAAAAGTTGTGAAAGTATTTTCAAGAAAGAATTCAAATCATTTGTACAGAATCCAGTGTTTCTCAAATGCAGAGAGAATAGCAAAAAGAAGATAAGTATTAAGAAATCAAGTTAGAGAAAAAAATAATAGATGATAAAATGTAGAGATGGTTGTATCAAAGCAAATACTGCTCATTTTCTAGACTTAAATAACGTGACCATAATTACTTCAATCAAAAGAAGAGCCATCATTATGAAGTAGGGGTAGAAATAGTCCGACAATCCTGCTTCATTCGCGTTTATGGAATCTGTCTAATATTTCTGTAAATTCAAAATAAAAGAAAGGGTGTAGATGTGGTGTGTGGATGCGAGTATGAGTGTAGCTGTGGGGTATGGGAGTGGGTGTTGATAGGTGTTCGTGTACTTCCTCATCTGTCCCACACTCACACCCCACCCAAAATATTTTTGCTATTCTTGATAATATTAGAAATGAATGCTTCTTTTCTCGCCAAAATAATAAAATATTAATATCGTCAGAATTATCATCATCAGAAAGACTCTGACTAAAATCAGTAGCCAAGTAATCATCTATTTCTTGATATGGATTTGATGAGTGAGAGATAGCATTAACTTTCTAATAGAGACATTGTGACAATTGGTTCTTTCGTTTTTGTGTTGTACCAGCTGTTGATGTTGGTGGGGAAGTTTTTACATTGACTTATGTTAAATGTAATGCGTTTGTGCACGATGAAGAATTAATTAATTTATGTTCTTCAAATTTTTGTTTTAATACATTGATTGATTTTTTTTTTCACAAATACAAGAATTAAAACTTTTCAATTTTGAATGAAGAATAGTAGATAAACGATGATGATCAATTATATACCAAGCATCTTTTATTCGACGTTCTAGAATTGTACAAGAAAAAAGATATAGCAATGAAAAGAACATGTTAAACAAAACTTTGAAACTTTTCAGACATCAGTTTGAGAAATATTTAACATGATTTTTTTTCTTACCTAAAACGCTTTCAGTTGGATTATTGCAATTGAATCTATTTCTTTCACTTCATATTTATTCATCAAATATTATCTAAGTGGAATTGCTCGATAAAGACTAAGTTGTTGATCCTCACTAAGACCATCATTTATCCCCTGAATATATTCAAGAAAGTTGCAAATATCATCGAGTAATTCTTTTTCAATCAAATTATTATCATCCATAGTTTGACTATTAATTAATGCTTCTGGTAATTGAAAAAGCCTCTCGAAAAATATCAAGCATAATTAAAGCACCATCAAAACGAGTTTTAGAATATATTTGTAATTTGTGAGATCATTTTTTGTTGTTGATGTGAACGTCTCACAGAAGAAACAACCTTTTTAAATTGATCAAAAACATTTTGAATTAATTCACAATCAATTTTTTCAATTGTATTTTTATTGAAATGAATTTGATCTGATTGAAAAGCATGTTGTAACTGTTTATTCAAATAATGATCAACACAACCAACGTCAGAACATTGTTCCTGAAATGCCGACAATACTTGCAGCTCATTATCTGTAACAATAAATTTTGTTGAATAAAGTTGTAGTTTATATTCTTCTAATATTTTATTAACAAATTTTCAATGGTGTTATGCTGAATGACTGGCTACGTTGTACGCAAAACAGCCAAGAATAAACGTAAATAATTGAAAATATTCACCAACATATCATAACGCTATACTATAGTAACTAATACCTAAATAGATGTACAAACAAATACTTAGATTATTTCTAGAGCTCTTCAATCAATAAATAAAATATTTAAGATTCTAACCAGTATGGGCTTCAGTTCATTGATCGACTATCAGAAAAAAACCTGCTTAATTGTTCACATATATCAATCAACTCGACCTTATAGTCTTCATAAAGTCCAGTATTATTCTTGCTGATTTGAAAAAATATAAGATCGAATAGTATGACCAATTTATGAAAATACTTTATTATTCTTACTATGGTGAGATGTGGAAGAAGGTCTTTTATTTCAATTGATGACTTACTGGTGGCTAGACCAGCAACAAATAAAGTTTTTTTCTAAATTTTGAAATCCATCACCTCTCATAACATCAAATGTACGTCCATGCAGAGCATAAAACTCTGCACAAGCTTCTGTAACAGAAAGTTTAATTTTCTTTGGAATTGGTGATTATTTTGAAGAAGAATAAAAATCATTAACAGGTTTTTGGCAAAGAAAACTTAGTTTATCTTTCTTTGAACATGAATTAACATGTATATATATATTATTAGTACCATTTAATGATGAATATATCAATAGTCCTTTGCATGTATTGCAAGACACCAATTGTTGTTGATCATCATTTACAAACATATGATTAAAAACTATCTTGGGTGTGGGTGTGGGTGTGGGTATTCTTGTCCACTTAAACCCACACCCCCAAGATCACTTGGAAGAAGATCATCCACTACCAGATTAATTTCACCATGATATTCTTTTCCCTAAATAAAGAACAAACAAATTTAACAGCATTCTTGATTACTTTTTACCTAGATCAAAATATGCTTCAATAATACGTCTAAAAACAGGATCAGAAATTATTTGAGACGGACCATTGAACCAGCAATACAATTTATGCATAATTCTTTCAGTTCCTCTTTCTTTTTTAATGCAGTTTTTGAAGAACCAGTTGCTGATAGAGGTAAGCGAACGGATGAAGTAACACTTGCTTGATCAGGAGCTTCATTTCGATAAGAAACATGTAGAAGCATCTTCTACAAGATACAAAACCAGCTATAATCTCAAATTTTTCTAGACCATCACTATTTGCTTTTACAGAACAGTCGAACTTTTTCCAACAAGAAGCTGTTAACCACTTGCTACTATTAGACATTACTTGAAAATGAATTTGATCCTTCAGTAATGAATATCTAATAGCAGATGTTAAATATGTTATGTTCGAAGAAGATGATACTCGAGAGAGTGTTGTGCAAAATTAACATACAGTATAGACTGAATGAAAGAAATAACATGTTATTTGCTAGCCATCATATCTTGTATCAATTCAACTGCACTCGATCATAACATTATCTAATAAATAAAGAGGACACTATCAACTGCATATGACAGAAAAAAATCGATTTGATTCGTCAATCTTCTTCAAGGATAAGTAATCAATTTTTGTTCTGAAATACTTCTCTAATATTTTGCACTCGTAGTGCACGAAGTTGTGATGATTCATTTAAGTGTTGATGTAAAAATAGGTGTCCATGTTTTTTTCTTTCCTTCTAGCATTAGTTTCTTAGGTGTGCATTGCGTTGTTATTAATCATTTCGCATACGACTCAATATTTGCACTTTGGCTCCTATCACTGTTTCTCTTATCAACACTTGTCTTATCGAGCTTTCGCCGATCTAAAGAAATCAAATTCGCTTGATATTCACTTGTTCTTATTTCATCTATGATTGTTTATGTGAATATGTTGCTAGTATGGCTCTCCTGTATGTTACTTTTCACTACAGTCTCTGGGTTAAAAGGGAGTCTTTATGCGTTTGCTAATGAATCTGTAGATTCACCGGTTGTTTCTACAACATCGGGTCAATTTTCAGGATTCAGTATTCGTCAGACAAATGTTTGGATCGGAATTCCTTATGCTGCTCCACCTGTTGGAATACTGCGTTGGCAAAAAGCTCAACCTTATGTTATAACCGACATCGTCAATGGCAATGTACAAAATGCAACGTATTATAGTCCATCGTGTCCTCAAATCGAACGAGTAGGTATTAGTTCAGGTCCATTTGATGAAGATTGCTTATATCTGAACATTTGGGCGCCGCGTAATCCACCTCCAATCTCATCAACGGGATATCCAGTGATGTTATGGATTCATGGGGGAGGACTTCAAGAAGGTAGCTCGACACAGATTATCTATGATGGACTTAGTTGGACAAATGCAGCTATTCAAGAGAATAATTCACTTATTATAGTTACTATTAACTATCGTCTCAATGTTATGGGATTCTTCGCTCAATCAGCTTTGACAAATGAAAATGGACAAATTATTGCAAACCAAGGTATTACAGATCAACGCATGGCAATGCAATGGATCCAAGATAATATTGGACAATTTGGAGGCGATAAGAATTCGATCACTCTAGCTGGTCAATCTGGCGGGTCTTATTCAGTTTGTATCCATATTGTGTCACCATTATCTGCTGGCTTATTTCATGCTGGAATAATGGAAAGCGGATCTTGTGATATTCCATTTTATATGTATGACAAGCAATTTGCTTATTCAATAACAAAGGATCTCGCATCGCGTGTTGGATGTAACATCACGAATTCGACTCAACAACTAGCCTGTTTACGAGATGTTAACAGTACTCTACTCGTAACAACCATGCCCAATGTATCAATTCCATCATCAACATCATTAATTTTTAAAGATCAACTCAAAGTTATTCAAGTATTTCCCTTTAATTTTATCGTGGATGGAGTAGAAATACCTGCTCATCCTTTACAACTCTTATTATCAGGAGCATTTAATCGTGTACCTACACTTTTGGGAGCGACTCATGATGAATTTGTTTTACGTGTTCTATATGAAGAGTACGTTCATCCACCAAACAGTACAGAAGATTACTTAACCCGTATTTTACCAATAGTAACCTATAATCAGTCTGAAATTGAAGCTCTATACAATCCGAGTCTGTTCAATGGTAACTATTCGAAAGCATTTGTTGCATTGATGTCTCAAGGAGCCTTTATTTGTGCTGCTCGTCGTATGGCTGGGTATATGGCTGAACAACCTACATATCTTTATACATATAATCATGCACCAGAGTCATTTTGGTTGTCATTACCAAGTTTGATTATGTGGCCAGGAGCATACCATTCGGCAGAGTTATTGAATTTATTTCAAACAGCATCGCCTTTACTTTATGGTGACCAAATGTTTTTACCTCATGAATTGAATTTGGTCACATCTACTCGCAGATATTGGACAAATATGATTACAAAATATCAACCGAATGATAATACCAGCTTAGCATGGCCTCCATATTCACCTAGAACGGATCAAGCTCTTCTCCTTAATACGACTATAACCACGACCACATTTATTGATGCATATCCTAACTGCGATGTCCTATCAGCTGCACGTGTCAAACTATTTGGCGAATACATTGGTTTGGATGCTACATGTATTGCAGGAAATAATTGCTTCATTATAAATTCTACTTCATCTACCATCACAACTATCAGTAGTAAAAGTCTATCTTGTTTCCAATGTAATTTATTCGTTTTATTTCCTCCTTATATTTTACTTTTTCTTTTTACTAAATAAAAATAACCATCGCTGAGCATTCTCGATTTATCCTTTCGAATTTTCTTGTCAAGACTATTTTTTAAAGCCTTCAGCCATAATCACTCTAACGAGACATCTGGAGAATGGTCTAACACTGGAAAAAAAATAGAATACTAAAACCTAGTATTTTAGGAAAATTTTCCCAAACCCTTAAAGGATTTTTAAGCAAAAGGGTTTATAAGATTAAGGCTATATGAAAATAAAAATGGTTTATTGTAATAGGATTTAAGGAGAAGGGTTTATTATTCTACGTTCAAGCGTTTATTGTTCTATCTTTGAATGAAAAGGATTTATCATATTGGAATTCAGAGAGAAGAGTATCTATTTAACTCCTAAGGGTAAATGAACCTACGATTTCAATAAAATGACTTATTATTGCCCCTTAGTGGTTTATTATTCTTCAGATTCAAATTAATTAGAGAAGGATGCCGAGAAAATATCTTGAGAACAGGAACACCGAGTGATCCCTTATTTTCATCTATCAGAAGAGAGAGCATCAGGGAATCTCTCGCTATTTTACTATAACATAAATTGCTTAAAAATTAATCTTTGTCACAAAAACGTTTTAAACATGTCCAAAAATCTTCTAGTAAAATTTTCTAACTATGAAGTCTAACCCGGATTTTTCAACCTTGAATCATCCGGACAAACGACTGAAAGTATACTAAAGACGGCACCAGTTTTTTAAACTCCCAGAAAATTATCAGGTTCACAGATGAAATAAATAAATACTTAGGGTTATTTGAATAATCTTATTAGACAGTAAAACTTTTAAATTTTAATTTTCGGTTCTATGCCGCCGAGAGATTAGTAATTCTCATGTTCACACCATACAGTTACGCATATATTGCGAAGTCTTTTCTATTCAGTAGAAAATAATAATAACCTATATATCTAGCTGAGTTTAGTAACGAACCCATTTTTAATTATATTTAGCCAAACAGCTGCTAAATTTCTGAATGCGAATAAAATTAACTGATGTTTTTCATGTTAGATTTTTCCCCACGAACTAATCCATCATAAGAAGGGGGGGGGGGGGGCAATTACAATTATATTTTCCATTGACATTTCATCAAAAAATTCATAGAACTCAAAGTATGAATACAAAACAATAGTTTTTTCTATTTAAGTTTGGCCAAATAAATTATTCAATCGTAAGTATTTATAAAATAATAATAAATTTATGCTAATCGTTTAGATTTGATCGAACAAGTTATTAAACAGTAAGTATTTTTAAAACTAAATCAATTCATTGATTTTTCTCGTTTAGATTTAGTTGAAGGACTTATACAATAGTAAATACTATAAAACAAAATATATTTATTGATTTATTTGATATATATTTGGTCCACGAAGCTATTAAAAAGTAAGTAATTTAAAAACTAAATGGATTTATTTGTTTTTTTCTTATTTAGATTTGGTTCAACAACTTATTGAAAAGTGAGTATTTTTCAAAATAAAAAGATTTATTTATTATTATCATTTAGATTCAGTCCAAGAACTTAAATACGACTAAGCATTCTTAAAGCTAAATAAATGTCTTTATTTTATTTAGACTTGATCCAGCAAGTTATTTAATAGTAAGCATTTTTACAAATAAAGAAATCTATTTATTTTTTTCGTCTAGAATTGGTTGGACAACTTGAACAATAGCAAGTATTTATGAAACTAAAAGAAACATTTTGTTTCCGTTTAGATTTGCTTCAACGGTTCCTCAAACTGAAGATATGAATTTTGGCTCAGAGGAATTTTTCCCAAACTCTTATTTTGTTTACCCATATGGAACTTCGAAAATTCGTTTCCTAGGAACTTGTCTGATGGAAGAAATATCCTGAGAATATTACTGATTTGAAAAAGTAAGATGTTGTGATTACATATTTGGCAATGAATCAGATAAGTTTTTATTTTCTGTTTTCTTGCCCCCTTCTTAAGGATGTGAGTGTGAGGTGCCATGATCCAGATCTTGATCTCTCTGAAAAGGCTCCTCAGATGACTTGGAAAAGCTTGTCAGCGCAGCTCCTTTGGAGCTGAAATGTGGAACTCACATATATCCTTTCAATTTGTTATTCTACTGCATTATTTGTAAACTAAAACATACTATTTTTTCAAATAATTATGAATGCATTAGAATACTGTATAGAATCTGAAGCCTTTTGTGCGCGGTTGTTGACGTCTGT